AAAAAAAAAAAAAAAAAAAGGTGTTTATTAGGGTGTGGCCATGGGCCGGGTTACCCATGGGTCTCGTTATCCGGCCCGAAAAAATAGGCTCGAAGCCCGATAGTTGACCAGTCCAAGTCCGAGCCCAATATCTTTAAGAAGAGGGCTTGAGTTTGCCCCCAAATCCAATACCCGGCCCGAATCCCTGCCTAAGAGCCCGCCCGCAAGCCCAACCCAACCTATCATTCATTTGAAAAAAAATTATACTTTTAGACCATTAAATTTAAAATTTTGAAATAAATCTTTTAATATCGAAATTTAAAGTTTTAAAAATTTAGATATTTTAAATAATATATTATTTTTTTCGATGTATTAAGCATATAAGTTTTAAATGGTAGAGTAATATAAATGACAAAAAAGTTAGTAAGTGTCAACTTAGTTGAGATTTATTTATTCTATTAAATGTAGTTCATTATTTTATTTTTATTCATTTTGACTTTACTTTTGATTCAAAAATATAATTTACACAAATATTAAGTTACAAAAATATTCATTATTTTTAAATTCCGCAAACGGGCCCGCCCAATAGGGTCACGGGTTGGGCTGCGGGTAGTCTACCCCTACCCGAAACCCAGCCCGGCTCGTCCAATAACTCACTTGGGTAAGGACTTGAGCTTACACTACTCAGCCTGGCCCGAAAAAATTTCATGGGCCTAGCCCTGGCCCATGGACACCCCTAGGGCTTATGATGTCCACAACTTTAATTCATTGTTAGTAGTTGGAAGTTGGAACTGATGGCTATCTTAGCATAATGAGGAACTGCAATAACAGAGACTACTGACCGTCTCCTGTTTCTAAATGTTTATTACAAGTCTGGTACGTGTGCAAAATATGAAGGATCCCTCAAATAGAGAAGGGCATACAGGGCTTCCACAAGAGCCTGCCCCCTAGCCCCTTCTTGGGTCATTATGGCAGTACTCTAATGAAGGTAGTACCCACTACATAACTGCCATAGACATGCTATTCTTTAAAACAAAATATTTCTAAAAGAGGAAAGGTTAGAGCAGTTAACAGCATTTTTTGGAGATTGCAGAGAGGAAAGTTGCATAGTATTTGGCCACAAGGTCAAGGGTGGAGGAGGTTGCGAGAGAATTGGAACAAATCAAAACATTGGCTCCCTATTTCAGCAACAAAAATAGGAGAAGAAAAAGATGAATGGTTCCATGTCTTGATCTGTTCCAAGTTTCCGACTGTCATGGAACCTCCTCCACCCTTGACCTTATGGCAAGGATGACGCTTCATATCCATACACAGCTGTTTATTTTTAGGCACAAAAAAAAGAAAAGAAAAGCCAGAGTGCTTTTTCTTGTATTACATAATTTCAAGAGTCAAAAGACACTACAAGGTCCTGATACTGTTTGTACAAAGGTTTCCATTATATATAGCTGAACCACAAAAGATGATCAAAATCTTAGTAAAATAAAGGGATAATTACACCCAAACTGTTTGAGAGTTGTTACNAAAGCTGGAGGTGGAGTTATAAGGATTTTTAAAGGTGTTTTTGTTATGATGAAAGGGCAGAAGTAGAATGACTTGTATTTGCTACAGGGCAGCACGGTGACAGGTGTCGCTGTTGCAGCTTCATCTTCAGATTCAAGCTCAAACGCTACTAAGTTATGGCATATGAGTGAGAGAGGATTGGATGTGTTAAGCAAATAAGGTTTGTTGTGTGGTCAGAAGACTAGAAAGCTGAACTTCTGTGAGCATTGCGTATTTAGAAAGCAGTGGGGATGAAGTTCAGCATAGCTGTTCATCAAACCAAAGTTACTTTTGATTATATTCATTCTGACCTTTGGAGACCCTTTCGTGTTCCTTCTCTTAGTGGTGGAAGGTTTATGTTGACCTTCATCGATGACTATTCTCGGAAGGTCTAGATATTTATATTGAAGCACAAGAATGATGTCTTTGGAAAGTTCAAACAATGGAAGACTATGATCGAGAAGCAGACAGATAAATAGATCAAGCGCTTGCGAACTGATAATAACATGAAATTCTGTAGAGGTGCTTTTAATGAGTTCTGCAAGAAAGAAGGAATCGTGAGACACTGCATGGTGAGGAAAACACGANACTATGATCGAGAAGCAGACAGGTAAATAGATCAAGCGCTTGCGAACTGATAATAACATGAAATTCTGTAGAGGTGCTTTTAATGAGTTCTGCAAGAAAGAAGGAATCGTGAGACACTGCATGGTGAGGAAAACACGACAGCAAAACTGGATTGCAAAACAAATGAATAGAACTCTCTTGGAGAAGGTACGATGCATTCTATCAAATGCTGGTCTATCCAAGGAGTTTTGGGCTGAAGCTTTCAATACAGCTTGTTATCTTGTTAATAAGTCTCTATCAACAACTATTGAGAATAAGACTCCTGAAGAGGTTTGGTCTGGGTTCCTGCAAATTACACTGATTTAATAGTGTTTGGTTGTCTTGCTTATGCTCATGTGAATAATGGTGAACTTGAGTCGGGACAAGGAAGTGCATATTTCTAGGGTATGCAGATGGGGTGATAGGTTATAGACTGTGGTGTGCAGATGCTAAACCACCCAAATGTATCATTAGAAGGGACGTGACCTTTAATGAGTCTGCTATGCTTGAACCCAAGAAGTAGAAGTCTTTTGATACTGGAAAAGACCATGGTGTCAGTAAGTAGGTGGAGTTTGAAGTGGAAGCTGCAAAGAACTTGTAAAAAGATTTGCAAGATGATGTCCCAGGCAAGATGCAAAAGAGGAGCAAGACTGTGATGCGGCTCCGCAACAGCAATGATACATGCTTACGAGGGACAGAGAAAGGAGGCAGATTAAGCCACCTCAAAGATATGGGTACGAGGATCATGTTGCCTATGCACTTAGTGTGGCAGAAAATGTTGAGGCTCTTGAGCGAATTACATATCATGAAGCCATCACTAGTGAAAATCTTATAGGCGTGATGACGAAGCTAGTTTCAGCAGGCAAGTTCAAGTAATGCTTGGACTTGATCAACATTGTACTAGTTTGAGCACCTTGTGAGGTGGATTGGAGACGACAATCAGGAAAGAGTTTTTAGATGACTTGAGTGGTTTCTGTCCAAGGTGGAGAATTGTTGGAAAAGTGGCCAGAGGCCTTGGCCTTTTGTGGTCTTAAATCCAGAGGCCACAAAAGTCTTTGGAGATGGCACAAAAGTCAAGGAAGGCTTTGACTGAATTCGTTCCACATGAATTCTCAAGTAGGTTGTCTAGTGGCTCAATCACGCGGAGATTTAATTGCGCATCTGATAGCTTGGATTTTTCCTCTCCTTAATTCCTATATAAAGGGGGTTTAGGTAGAGGGGTAAAGGCATCAGAAATCAGAAGCTCTCTTCTGAATATTAGAGTGTAGAGAGTTATGAGCCATCTGAGAACTGAGAAATATCCAAGTGATATCAGTGAGGATAGAGTGCATTCTCTCTAGTAGGTGTGAGTACTTGTGAGCCAAGATACAGTTGTTCTTGTACTGTTGTTTTACTTTGTAGTGAAAACATTCAATCGTTGTTTGCTGTGGATGTAGGCAATAGACGAACCACATAAATCTCTTGTGTTCATTTGTGTGTGCCTTATTTATTTCTTGTCATTTTATTGTCTACTTCGGTACTCATTGTGGGTCCGTCACAACAGGGGGGAGAGAGCTGGTGGAGGGATTGATAAGGAAAGATGGCTAGGAGAAGTGGGGAAGATGGGTGTGAGAAATATTTTTGGTAGGAGAAAGGGGAAGAATGGCAAGAGTTTGGGAAAAAGGGGGGGGGGGGGGGGGGGGGTGGGGGG